TTCGGTTCTTTGTAGTTACTGAAAATATATACCTACTTCAAAGGGGGTAAGTACAGAAATTAATATATTTGTTTATATTCGTCGTACCATTAAAATTACTATAATCCGTGCCAACTAAGTTTACGTACCTATTAAATATTGGTAGTTCTAGCATTAAACGCGAAACTTCTAATATCTCGAAACAATGTGAACCATTGACCTACACCACTGTCCTAATCTGAGCAGCAAGTAGTACCAAACGATATTCGTCAGACGCGCCACTGCGGCTTCAGCGAATCAACCGTGAAAAACGATTCGATAGCGATAGAATCGCTCAAAGTTACGCGATTAAAGGCAGAAATTCTCGAAGAGGGATTGTGTCAGCTGATTTAAAAAAGAACCCAATGTTAAATACACCGAGAATCCGCAAATAGCGAACCTATCGAAAAATCAAGAGAACCGAGTCGCGGAGGAACTTTGAACGTTTCTACCGGATGGTAAAATCGCGTGGAACGTTGATCCCCTTCTTGCTGAAACACCCACAGATCCCGCCACCCCCGATAAATTATATGTCGATAAATTAAAGCGTGCCGGACGTCCGCCGATAAAAATCGAAGATGCGAACCGACCAGGCCGATGGAGGAGAGCAAAGGCCGGCGGTAACAGCGATTCATTTTTCATCGACCTAACCGAATTTGTCGAACTCGGGAGCCGCGCCAAGGGTGGGATCTAATTTCAGGGCCATTACGATGTATACGAGCCACCCTCCGCCGCCGTCCTCGCCCGCGATCGCCGTGAACTATCATTTGTACGAATTACATCGACTCGCCTCCGCTATATCCGCCGTCGTTTATTATTATTAGCAGCCAGCCAACGCGTCACGCCTCCGGGACCAGCGGATCCGCCATTAATCCTTCCGGGAATCATTGAGAAAACTAGACACGCTGCAAACCCGAAGAATCCTGCTGCAGGTGCAGCCTCGGAAAATTCCGGTACTCCTCGAAGCACGATTTTCGAAAAATATTCCATGACTCGTAAATTACCACGATTAACCAAACGATGGAAGATCCCTTTAACGCTAATCCGAAAATTTTGATCAAAAATTTCGAATTCGATCCTTTCGATCGCTAACTTTCGCGATTTTTATCGAATATTTTCTCAGGTCATTTGAGAAAGATCGCGGAGGGTTAAAAGTTTGGCGCCTGTGTCACGAGATAAACGTAAGATTGATCGTAGATCGGTGCAACGACGGTTGCGACCCCCGGCGAGATTAAAAGCTGGAGATTGCGGATGGCTCGCGAGACAGGTGCATGTGATTAAAGGGAAGAGGAAGCAGGAAGGGTCAGCGAAGGAGGGGCCAGAAATTATTTAACGCGGCTTCTCGACTTCTTCTGATCTTTTCCATCAGGTAGATGAACCCTTTCATCCTGAGGAGCGAGCACCGAGGGTCCGAGGGGTGTCGGTGTTGGGGTTCGAGGCGAGCCCGATCCGCGACGATGAAAATTATACGCGTACATAAGAGCAAGGTGAGAGACTGCTACGTTAAAGAAATTAGAGAGATAATTCCTCGGACGAATACCCAATTTACCCTTTCGTCCGAGCCCGAGCATCCTGGCCTTATTATCTAAAGTGCTCGGCTGCGAGAGGCTGACAACGAACGTACGGCAGAGGGGGAGAAAAAAGGGCGGAGAGGAAGAAAAAGAACGTGCACCCTTCTGACGGCAAGGCGTAGGAGAGCCTGGTGGTGGACTGCAAGGACAAAAAGTATTAAAAGGACAGTTCCTCCTCGCGAGTGTACAACCGACTGGCCAGCTGAAGGGTTGCCGGCCAACTTTTTTCGGCTCCTATCATTTATTCACGCCGGAGTTATTTTCTTCCGGATGCTCTCCTTTCCCGGAGAGGGCTGCAAAGGCTGCAGACCTTGCTTCTCCTCTGAATTTCCATTCGCTGATTTTTCCCATCAAGGAACCCCTCTCTCCCCTTCTCTCTCCGGAAACTTGGAAAAATCGCACGATTCCTCCGAGACGAGCTCGGAGACCAGAGATTCCCCCGTCCTCGAGATCGATCTCGAATTTCTTCCGGACGATCTCCTCGTCGGTTCAGACACGTCGTCATTGATCGTGGCAGCTGGAGAACGATCGATCCGCGATCGCAGGGGTCTTGCCGTGATCCACGAAGGACTCTGTGGACAGAGTGTCGTGGATGGAGGAGGGTTACGCGGCTTGGGATCTCCGAGTGGGAAAACCGGGCCGGTTGCACGAGACTGGATGGAGATCGGTGAAAGAGGGAGCCGCAGGCGGCCACACCGCGATTGAAAGAACGGCCCCAATCATCGGCTCTGGAAATGCATTTTCCGTCTCTCTGGCTTCTGTGCCCGACGCCGTGGCGGCGGTTTTCGGGCATAGCTTCATACGGGGAGTCGCTGCACACACCGGCAGAGGAGAGGGCCAGTCTTTGTCGCTATTTCGGGGGGATGAACGAGCCGGGGACACGAATACGTGTTCGATCGATGAATCACTCGGCGTGCACCGTTGACGTTGACGCGGAACGAGAGCGCGACACGCAAACACACGGAGTGAAAGGGAAAGCGGCAGAAGAAGAGAGAGAGAGAGAGAGAGAGAGAGAGGGAGAGAGGGAGAGAGAGAGTGAGGCAGAGGGACAGAGGACCGGCTACTAGCGGGTGGTAGTGGAACGAGGGGGTCGGAGGGGTTGGATGCACCCTCTCTGGTGTATGTACGGTGGCAGCTCACCGGTTGCGGGTGTGGAGTATGCAGGTGCGGGTGTATTAAAAAGCGGGGGTGGCTGCGGTCGCGTACCAATCACCCGACGGGGATGAGGGGGTGGCTCCGTGAGCGAGAGGGGGTCGAAAGGTGGTCTGGTCCGGCTCGATGGACGGGGTAGGCACGGCAGAGAGAGGGATCATACAGAGAGACGGTTTGTTCCGAGAGAGAGAACACGCCCGTGCCACGCAACCCCCGTGAAATTTTAATCGTGTCGTCATTGGGGTAGTTTGTTACGATAACCCGACCAGCATGGACGTGTACGTGGGCTTTTCACGGGGGAGAGAAAAAAACCACCAGGGGGAAAGATCGACCAAGGGAACCGCGTTTCCCTCGCATCCCTTTTTCCACCAAAGTCTCGCTGTTTTAGCGATGGAGATACGGTAGAACTCTCTGGAGGTAAGGTACCTTCGCCTATTAGCCACCGTTCCTCGGGCAATAGCGTATAGTAGACGCGTTTCCGGTTGAACAAGCGGGAAGATCCGTCACCTTTTACCCCGATCTTCGTCTTCGAAGATGTGGTGCGCGCAACGAGCATCATTTTTGCCAGCTCGCGGCGGATATTTACCCGTGTCGTAATTAGCATCGCGCACGAGCGGCGTTTTCATCGGCGTCGAACGCGTGGCTGCGCCAACGCCGGTCACGGTTGAATACATCGTTTGAAAGATTCATGGGAATGCGGTGCGCCGGGCATTATTGCTCATTTGATCGGGCGGCGCATCCGAAAATAATGTAGAAAATTGTTTTGCGGTCTTTTTATCTCGATTTCAGCCACGTGACACACACGCACACAGCCGAGCACGCGTCGATGAGGGAGGAACGAAGGGCGTGTAAGTGAAGGCGTGCATGTGTGCGGAGGGGTCGCTTTGTGTGTCCCATCAATCACGCGGACCTTTTCACCGAGCGGATATCGGGCCTGGCCGTTTTTGCGTGCGGTGCATCCCGCTCGATTGCAATCGTGGCGAATTATTGAATCTGCTGCATATCTCGTCCGTCCGGATTAGGTTGGGTTAGTTGGCGCGCGTCCGCGACTTCGCCGATTTTGCCCCCGCGAATCGGCCAATTCTCACCCTTCCACGGGGAAAGGATATCGATCCGCGAAACGTGACGGGTGTTTGCAAAATTCCCCGTCTTTCGGCAAAACCTCCGAGTAAATTAAACGGATCTCTCGTGGAAAATCGGCGAACGTATTTCCCTTCTTCTTAGATCCGACTGCAGCTAGGATGGCAACTTTTAAATCTGCGAACTTTCGTCGTACCGCGCGGGGCGAGGATTTTTCGCCTACTCGAAACTCGAGGTCGGGGAATACTAGAAATATCGATAAAGAATTGTGAGAACGCAGGGTAATTAAATGTTCCAAGATGTAAAAGCTCGCGACGTCAACGCGAATAATAATAGGTAAAATCGGTACTTACTATTGGAAGACCAGGCCCGGCTGGTACCGTCGAAGAGTTTGCTGCGTAAGAAGATGATCATTCATGGAACGGATGATATTACTTTATTTGATGACGTACTTAAACAGTGAAAGAATCTCGTTGTCGAGGCCAGTCACGCAAACACGGAACATACCGGCTCGCACGACGACTCGTCACGCTGCTCGTCGTAATCGCCGCTGATGGCCGATTAATGTTCCTCGTAAAAAGAGGCGGAGAAAGAAAAGTGGAATAGCCAGCAGGGACGTGACTTTGGCCCGAACTCGCAATGTCTTTGGGTCTGTGATATTTACAACGCCGCGAGTTCACAGTTGCCGCGATGAGAAAGCGTGAAACGACCCCCATCACACGGACCTCGACACACCGCAGGCTGATCCCTAGGACGTTCTCTCGAATTTTCCACAGTCCCCTCCTCGAGATTAGGCCTGGTGTAATGAGGATCGTTCGGGAAAGTCGATTAATCTCACTCGAAATGACAATGGGTAACGCTTGACACGTGCGCGAGATAGTAACCTAAATAATAATTGGACGCCGCTTATATATTTACATACTATACGAACGTAAACCCTGGTTAGTCCTCGAGTCCATGATAGTTCCTGGTTCCAGGACCAGGCTCTGAGCTTTCCACGTCTGAGACCTGACTCTCAGGCTCGTGTACAGTGACGATCGCCTCGCCATACGACCGTCTAACGTTAGAACGGACACCCTAAATCGATCGAGACAGATCTGGCCGAAATTTACAACGAGACCATCCAGCGGAATTTCATGATGCAGGAATCCATGTACCCCGGTGGAACAAATGGACCGTTTAGTACGGTCTCCAGACCTGTCTGGGCTTAGGACTCCTGTCTCTTCTGCCTCGCACTCCCTCCCTCTCGACGTCGGTGTCGTCCTCCTTCTTCCTGGTCGTGAGATCCTGGCCCACGTTCTCCTTGTCCTGTCCCTTCTTCGTGCTCAGATCCACCGTCCCTTCCAAACGCATCTTCAGGTCTCTGCGAGAGATCTGCTCGTCGTTCGCGATCTCCTGATCGTTCGAGTTCTCTATACTCGGTCGCAGGTGAACGGAGGCGTCCTGAAACGTCGCGTCGGTCGTGTCTTCCATGTCGCTCCTCACAGGCGAGATCCTCGGGGAGTCCTGTTCAGGAAGAGACTCGTCGCTCCTCACGCGATCCCTGTTCACGTCGTGCTCGTTCCTATCGTCCACTTCTATGCTTCCGTCGGGACTATCCAGACCGGACCTAAGGAGTACGTCCTGGTCGTCGTCCCGTCGCTTCTCCTCCTTCAGCGCGGACTCGGGACTGCTACTGCTGCCTCGAAGCTTCCTCATCTCCTCCACCCGCGCTTGGTCAGGCCTCTGCAACCGCTGCTGAGCCATTCTTAACGCCAAAGCGTGCCATTCCGGCTCCAGAACGTACTGCTGCGTGTGGTAGAGCGGATTGTAGAGCCAAGAGGATTGCGGCAGCAACGGGGCGAATATCGACCCGAAGATTGACCCTGTGGCCCCCAGAAGATGAAGACCTGTTGTTACAACGAATGTCAGTTTCGCGAGTCTTTTCTCCCCGTCAGAGATAATTCGCGAGACTAGAATTCGGAGAACTAGAATTTCCCAGAGTCCTCCAACTACCTATTCGTTCAGCTCGGTTGTACCCTAACCGGGGGTAACAAATGCAACGATACCTTGGAAGTGTGAATGGTGGCTTGACGGACTCGGCGTGGTGGTGGTCGTGGTAGGTTCCGCCGGAGGCGTGGGCGCCGCGACCGTGGCCGTCGTGAGCAGTCCAGGTCCAGGATTGCCTGGTGACGTGGTCGGGGTGACCTCCCTGACTGACACGCTGATTGGACCCAAATCGTTCCTGGACGGTTCTTCAAGAAAACCATTCGTCGTGAGTCACCGACTGAGCCTCGTTAAGTAAATAAAATTCTCCACGCATCTGAGCTTCGACACCCTTTCCATCGTTTCCTTCCTCGTTTCAACAGGTCAATGGTAATTTGATCGATTAATCGAGCCGAAAGGGCGGAAAGGAGGGAGATGATCCGGTGGATGTCGCAGCTTGACAGAAGCGTGGAAAGAAGTTCAGGTGGCTTACCAGAGTTAGGTCCAGGAAGTCTAGGAGATCTTTGCTCGATGCTGTGGTGGAAGGGATTGAAGGCCGACGCACCAGCTGCCGGGGGATGTGTATGCGAATGGTGACCGGGAGGCGGCGGAAGACAGTGCGGCGGAAGAGAGCCCCGAGGTAATCCACCCCACCCTTGGCCGGCTCCTTGCTCCAGACCCAGGTGTTGCAAGCCTGTGCAATCCAAGAGATCTGAAATTATGTCTGTCAGTCGTTTGGCTTTTTGGCCAGAGCCTTGGCCAGCTTTTCCGCGATCGATAAGGACCAAAGTCCTGGTCGAAAGAGAAAAATCTCTTCCTCCGTTTCGTACTCCTTCATCTCGAACTCTGGCTACCTAGTACTCGACACGTAGCCTCGTCTCGAAACGGTATCGGTGAGGTGTATTACGAAAAATTGCGCGTGGCGTTTGAAAGAAATCAATCTTGGGCCAGGATGAATATAGAACGCGAACAACGACCGCAATAAATAGCGGCCAGGCCGATAAAGAAACGCTCTCTGGAGGAGATGTGGAAACGTTATATAATGTCAGGTGGATAAACGATCACCGGATGACAGATAGAGCTGCAGAAACGCTTCTCTTTGACGTAGCGAACGTTTGACGTGGATGGACAGTTAAATTTATCCAACAGAGAATAGAGAAACGATCGATCACCTTTTTTTTTCGATACTAGCCGATACCACCCGGCCATGGGAATGGTTCGCGTGTGCAGCTATGCAATTAAATTCGCGACATTGCAGGGATTAATCTGTTCCAACGCGATTACGCTGCTCACCCTTCTCCCGCGGTCCTCTTCCTTATCGACCGGAAAGAAAACCCGATCGAATCTAATCGAATCCGTTTTCTTTTCGCGAAGATCCATCCCCGAACGACAGGTAAATCGGTTCGAAAAATAGGCAAGTCGATATACATGTTCGGAGAACGGGGCACGGAAGGACAGAAATAAAAAGAGGCGAGAATCGCGAACGGGGAAGGAGCGAGTAAGAAAGTTAAGAAACCGCCGACGTCCACGGGGGTGGTCGTGGGAGGGTGGAAAGGAGTAAAAGTGAAGCCCGTAGTCATCGGTATGGTATCGGTTTTTCGAAACACCTTGATCAATAGCAGATTATACCGTCATCTGTGCGGGGCAGTTTAAAAATTCCGTGAAAGCTCCGAAGCCACCGGCTTCAGGGGTAGGGATCGCAACGGGGTGGCAAGTAGGGGAAGTTCCCCGCCGGGTGGGGAGAGTTGTCTGGTCACTGGAACGTGGGCGTGGCTTGCCGTGCTTGCGACCGTCGCCATTGGTCCCCATTGAATCCCCTCCAATGGTCGGAGCGGCGGTGGCGGGGATGGAAAAAGCTCGGTAGGGGTTGAAGGGGTGATTTTTAAGCTCTCTTTAAGCCGAGCTTGCCAGAGAGGACACCACTATCTCGCGTTCTACCACATCGTCGTGGAACTACGAGCAAGCCAGCTGGAAACTCGCAGAGGAAAAGAGAGACAGAGAGAGAAAGGTTGTAGATGCAGCTACTTTATGAGGGGATTAAGAAAACGATAAGAGGCGCGCGAAAGCTACGCTGTGAGCGAGCTTAAGGAGGCCAAGGGTTTCCCTGTACCTGATGCGCCGTAAGTGACGACTTTGCTTGCCTATTCTCTGCGAAAATCCTTACTCGACCCTTGGCGCAAAAATTCCTGCTCGTTCGAGAGGAAGAAATTTACTTCCATTCGATCCTCGAGCATGAACTCGAATCGACAGCGATCGACGTACGACGAAACTCCAGTCGGATAAAGAAAATTAAATTTCCAAAAATATCCGCGCCTTTTTCACCCCTACGAGTTGATACGTGAAAGTTTCGTGCCTCCTGGTGAAAGGTAAGGGAAGAGTTTCGGTATTTGACAGCGGCGCGTATCCATTTCAACCGACTCGTAACATACTTTCAATTTAATAAAGCCCCAAAACGGCTGGCACCCTCTCAGGGGGTAGAGAACTCGCGTGCCGGGGTCGGGGGAGAGGGTGGCGGGCGATAATTCCGAAAACAAATGAAGACTAATGAGGGGAGAAGCCAGGCGAGAGCCTCTGAAAGAGTCGGAGGGAAAGAAGCAGAGAGCTGAAAGGGTTCAAGGAGCCGCTACCCTTTAAGGGGTGAGAAATGTTAAGCTTAAACGTTACGGCCCTAGGGTTAGTTGCCTTTATGTGTACCTTCCACCGGGTACAGAAGCTTTAAGGGATGATGTATTATCGAGCAGCATGTTCAAAATGTGCTCCGCTGTTTCAGTCCCCCCAAGCTGGTCTACGTGTTAGTGTTACTTCTCGATACTTGCGGCGCTTGAAACCTGGCCAAAGAAGATTGTGGCTGGTTAATTTTTCGCGGTATAATACCGTGCAATGATTTCCGGGGAAAAATGTAATTGAAAGAACCACCGGGACCTGATTTACGTCCAGCGCCAGTAGCACGAGTCGGCGTTGAGTCGGGCATCCGCGGAAAATAACGAGTAGAAATAACGAAAATAATTGCATCGGAATTAAATATGCAAACGCACGCGTCCGAATTCGGAATTCGGAATTCGGGGTAATTTTTCGATACGAAGCAGAGAGAAAAGGGTAAGGAGAAGGTTGAATCTCTCTCTCTCCTTTCTTGATAGTCACCGCGATTGAGAAAACAGAGAGCGAGAAGAAAAGAAGAGCGTAGTGGGAGCCGTCGGGAAACTTAAGGGGCGTTTAAAGACGTTGGGCCAAAGGGTGACGGGCAGGCTCGAAAGTAAAGAGTAAAGCCGGTTCCGTTCAGGTTGCTCGCTTAAAACCCCTCCGGCAGCCAGCCAGAGATACATAATAAATTAATTCGCGTATTTTCCTGTCCTCCTTATCTATTCAAATCTATGCAAAACAGGAGTTAAAACGCCCTTCTTACTGCTAAGGCGTTAACCCTTGTGTAGCTTGCTCGCACACCCTCCCCTGCCCCTCTTTTCAGCTTCTTCTCTAACCACCCCCGCGTCCCTCGATCCCGACGCCGCCGCCACCCCCGTAAACCCCCGTTTCCCACGTCCTAGCCTCTCGCTACCGACGGTCGGATGTCTTTGCACACCCACCCTTTGCGCCCGTTCTCATTATCGCGTCGCAGCAACCCCTAAAATGCCACCCTGGAAAGGTCCCTGGCACCGATCTAAGCTCTACGAGGAGATATTTCGAGAAAGGACGAGAAAATTGCTGTCTCTCTTGCTCCCGCGCACATCAACGCCATCCCCTTTCATCCCCTCCGTCTCCGGTGCCTGTTTCCTTCTCTTATTTACGCTTGCATCCTCTTTGAAGTTACGAACGTGGATAAAAACGACGAACTTTTCCTAACGTTCATTGTACGTTCTTGCTCTCTTTTCGAGTCACGTCGCCCGAACACCCGTGTCTCCTCTCTTTCTCTCTTTCTCCTTCCTCCACCTTCAGACACGCTTGCGTACGAGCGTATAGAAACTCCGGAGTTTCGCCATGGTTCTCGCGTCGTCTGTCTCTATGACGGCAAGGCTAATTTCCATCGGAGGACGCGACGAAGGTTCTGAAAGAATTCTCAGAGAATTCTGAACCGGTTGAATCGCGCAGAGATAAATTACCAATCGACGTGGCCGCGTGTAAATTCGTTCCATTCGTTTATCGGCTTTCAGCTGTTCCGGCTCCTGCGTCATTGATACGAGAGAGAGAGAAAGAGAGAGAGAGAGGACACGAGCCAGGGGACGAAGAACGACGAAAGGTATCATTAGTTACCGTCGCCGCGACCGAAAGTTCCTGGTCACCGGGCCTGATTAAAAGACGAGACACCCTGGGACACCCTTGCAAGACACGCAAGAGGGTGAAATGTGACGCGAATTTAAAGGATCCGCCGTGATTTGACGCTGGGGTGGACAGCAGGCAACCCTTAAAAAGGGAACCTTTAAGGATCCTGTACCGCACTCGTCAAGGGTTACTCGCTTTTCCATGGACGTGAAAGGATCCTCCAAGAAGGACTCGAGTTCTGTCTGAAAATCGACACTCCGAGCCTCCGATTGGGGTGTTCCTTCGAGGAACTCGGTACACGATACCTGTAATTAGTTTCGACCAATTAGGACGCTTAATATGAAATTCGAAACGAAGCTCGAGCTGTCGCGAGATCGGTGTTTCACGCCGTGATCCACCTTCGTGTTCCGACCTCGATGATCGATCGTGCGTTGCGTTGAAAAATTTGCAGAATAGAATTGCCAAGGAAAACGACGCGAGAGAGAACGAGAGAGAGAGAGAGAGAGAGAGAGAGAGAGAGAGAGAGAGGGGGAGAGATCGAGAGGTCCTCTTTAAAGAAAGCTCGCGAAAATCTACTGTAAAACGATCCGTGAAACGAAGGCGAGCGACAGTTTTAAACTGAACGCTCCTAACAATCTCCCCCAAATGAGGTAAAGGCCACCTTATTGAAACAGGGGTTGCGATTTTTCCGGCGCTTCCCCAACCCCTGGTAGGCGGTTAATTGACACTGGAGGGTGGAAAGAGGTGGAACAACGGAAGGGGGGCTAGGAATCGAGCTGCGCGAGCTGTTCTTGTTAACTCGAATCCCGGCTGCTCTCGCGATTTTTCATCCCCTTAGCTAGACAGACAAAGACACCCTCCCGGGAGCCACGTGATCGAGGTGTTTTCGTTCCTCGGACAATCTCAGCGAGGATCTTTTCGCGTGTTGCCACTCACCGAATACATTAATTTCCCCGGTGCTCCGGGCTCCTGTCACTCTTGCTGCTGAAATTGAATCGTGAAGATGCGCAACAAACCGATCGAGCGCAGACGACTTAGAATTCGAGAGCTTCGAAGAAACATCGCAGCTAATTTCCTAGATGATTAATTCTTGGAACGAAAATTTGCCCTTCTTTCTCAAAAATTATCCAACGACTTGGAGAAATAGAGAGAAAGAGAGAGACAGAAACGGGGGGGAGGGGATTAAATAGGCAACGCGGAATGCGAGGAAAAAGGTCAAAAAGCGCAACACTTTTTGGAGAGAGAGACAACGAGAGTAGGAGTAGCAGGTACGGAACGAAGACAGCCTGTGTACCGGACTTGGATGATCCTCGGGGATAGCAGAAAATTCGAGCCTCCCCTCGAGCTAGGCCGAACGAAATTTAATAACATCCCCCTAGTTACACCTCAATGGGCACCTTAACGACCCCTGCTCGGGTAGCCAGCCGTCTCTTGCCATTTCACCCAGCCGGATTCTCCTCTCCTTATCAACCCCAGACGCGGATATCTAATAAACCAGCTCTCGAAACGCGTCTTTATCCGAACAAAGATAGCCACCCCCTTTCGCAGTTTCGGGGGTGGCGGAAGCTCGGTAGCTGCCCGACTGACCCCAGCGGCGAACTGGACGGAGGCGCAACCTGTGCGCTGACCGTCGAACTACCAGCGAAAGGGTTGAAAAAGTGGTGGACACGAGCCGTGGAATAAACCGATCGATATGAGAGGGTTGATGTCGGTCGCGACTGCGACCCAGTTACGCGACCGCGCGTTTCCTTCCACCGAGAATTGAATTTGTCGCGGAAGGGGTGGCTAAGACACCGGCGACGGAGCATTCTTCTAAGCGGTCTGCGAGACTTGCATTGGAACGAAGACGACGAAAACGCGGGAAAATTATGAATTTCCACGTCTCGAACATTTTTGGAAAAATTCCACCCGGATCGTCGAGAAACGACGACATCGTGAGACGCGTTAGCGTGTGTACGATGATGCGGGGGTGGAGAAACAAGAAGAAACCGAGACCTTCGAAGACGACGAAAACGGACGGAATGGAGAAAGTTGAAAGATGAGAAAAATGGAACTCGCGACACCACCGACCATCCTGTTTCGACCCTATCCTCTTCTATTTTCCAGCCGCAGCCGGCGTTGCCGCAAAATATCCAACGCGGCGAACTTCCATCGCGCAGCACGGTAATTCGATTCAGCCGACCTGTATAGCCGCGTTACGACACGAGGCTGCGACACTTCCGCTCGGCGATTACCGTGGAACAATTTTATGCAGCCGACCTGGAAATTGTTGCGTCCGTCCTCGTTAGCTGAAATTACGACGGGGAAATCTGAAGGAAAGAAGAGGAGAAGTCGACGGGGGCGCGGTCCTTGATTGAGTAGACCGCGGGGGTGGGACAAAGGGCGGCTAGGGAAGGGTGGCCGGAGAGAGAGAGAGAGAGAGGGGGACAGGAGTGCAGAGACGAGAAATCGACGGCAGGACTGCTACTCCACACTACCCCCGGGGGCAGCAGGGGAGAGAAGCTCCGTTAAGCCGCTTATCATGCCGAAACAATACACTGTCGGTGCACCAGTATCAGTAGCCGACCCTCGCTGCTCGAGGCTAGTCCCATCAAAATTTCGAGCTTCGAACGAATTTGAATTGGAATCCGCGCCGCCAAACTAGCTCGTCGAATGCGCCGCCACCGGAAATCGCTGCCACGACCGGCCGCTGGATTTTCTCGTCCGGCGATAAATCGAGAAAAATCACGGAGTCTGCTGGCAACGGAGGCCCGACTTGTCCGACTATCCAAAGACCGTGAACTCTGGAAAACCGATTAATTTCGGTCATTCGCGGAGGACTCGCGGGAAGAAACTAGATCCCCTGAGCCGCGGAAAGAAACTAGATCCGTCTAGAATGCTGCACAGTATCGGGGTCCTCAGGCCGGTGTTTTCCTTCGCGGACGATCGGGAATTTCAGCAGCTGGAGAAGTGGCTCGTCAAACGGGGCGCAAAGTTTCGCCGAAGAGTGGCGTCGACAAACGAAAGGCCGGGGCTTAATCAGAGTCTTCTCCACTTAGACGCCCCGTGGCAAAACTCAATTTTGAGTCGGCGCCTGCCGACGCTCAATTTTGACACCCTTCGTAGCCACCAAGCCAGCCAACACTGAGAGGAGCAAGCTTGCCTTCGCGACACCGGGAAAGGGGATGACGCAGGGTTGTAAACTTAGTTATCCGGTTGCCGCTGAGACGTGCTACGAGGCGGATGCTGCACTATGCGCGACGGCAGCCAGCGGATCTGGACGAGTCTTCTATCGGCACACACTTACCGGACAACTTGAATCCCAGGGGATCCTGAGGGTGACCGAAAGGGAACGGCCTGGGCCCGAAGTGGAAGGGATGAAAGGCCTGGTGTCCTGAAACGCAACGCTCGTCGTGAATCGCTGTGACGTATGGTTCGCCTGTGTTCGTTCTACCAAGGATTCGTCGTATTTCCAATTTAAACAATTTTTTTTCCAAATTGGGAATACTATCTATCGCGACTGTGCGTGACTTTTGAAAAAAAAAAGAAAAGAAAAAGGAAGAATTTCGAGACTTTTCGCAAATTTCGTCAAATTAGAAAGGATCGATATTTATGAATTAATCGTCACTTTTTCGGGAATATCTCTGAAACTGTTGGGATACATTCTATACTCGGAAGGATACGGGAAACCTTGAACCACAGTATCCCTGCTCCTGTCTACCACGAAGAGCGGAGTTACCTACGGTTGGTAAAAGCCTGTAACACTCACTTGTTTTCGATCTGGGCTCTCTTGGTCCGTCCACGGTGACCTTGATCGCCTTCGACAGAGTGGCTATTTGAGGTGGTGATGTCTGCAGCATGATCGTCAATGTGAAGCTCTTCCCTGTAACAGAGCGGAGACTTGAAACGGGATGTTGGCGGATTTATCACCAGGCGGTAAAACAAGATCATCTCCGTTAGTTTCCTAGTAACTCGTTCCGATATTATACACTGCGAAAATATACAGACCGAGCTTTTTCGAGCTTCCATCTAGCTTTATCGCTCACGATGTTGCTATAAATAATACCTTTAGACAAACTGTGTCGAAAGTTGCGTCGTTAGCAGCGGGGACAAGGCGAGAAACGAATCGAGCGAGAATTTCGGGAATTAGGCTAATTTTAAGTAAATTCCCAATATGTCGATATTGTACATACTCGTTTTCGAGCATTTATAACCCTATCTAAAAGTTATATGCTAAGTAATTATATTTATTATCGGAATAAGATAAATATAATACAGAAAGCGGTTGGCTGAATAACGATGGGTATACGTTTGTATAAAGAGAAAAACAATTGCAACCAACTATCCTAAGGACTTCCTCTAAGCTTTCGCTATCGAGTTTAACCTTTTGACTGCCACGCCAAAATCGTGTGTTTTCCTCAAGACGCCACGCTAGATGCAAAATTTGTTCTAATATTCTTTGATGTTCTAATAAAAATTTTTCGTTGCTCAATGGGGCACTTCTTATTTCAAAGTATCTTCTAATTAGCGGTTATATTCCAAATGCGCTAACTGTCAATTTTTATTCAATGTAGTTCAACGTAGTTTAAGTAGTTCAAGCGCTCCGGTCATCAATGACCATCGGTGACAGCTACATGACAAACGTGGCAGTCAAAGTGTTGATACAACACTGCTTTGTTGAGAGGATTGACCCCTCTTTTTACAACTTTTCCCTAAAATTCCCCTCACCCCGTCTCTTGTAGAAAATATTGCAAATATGTCTGACTTTCGACTTGCCTCTTCCACTGCGTTCCTCTTTTACGGCACTTTTTCGCCCAAGATCTTCGAGCCTAGGTTGCTACAATACCTTAAGTCTAACGAACGGTTGGTGGCCAAAACGATAGCAGTGAAAGAAAATACAAGTGGCAGTCCCGAAACGGAAGAACCGTTCGCGAAACCTTACTTTCCCTCGCAGCCCGATTCGCGAATACTCGGAAATCGGCGAAAAAGTCTTAGTCTTCGTCGGGCGCGACGAACATCGTCGTCGACGACAAAACCACCCTCTTGCTCGCCTTGCCAACGCGTTTTTCCCGAGGAACGCGGCCAACTGTTGGCGAAAACGGCGACGCGCTCTCGCGGGGTGCGTTCGCTGGAAACAAAACACAAATGTGCCGGAAGTAAGGGGTGAACGAGTGGCGCCGCTGCGTCGATGTTTGCCCCGAATCGGCCGGAATATGTTAATGCCGGGGGAGGCTAAACGCGAGCCCAACCCCCGACAAATGTACGCGGCCGTTTGTCACGCGCGATTTCGTCCTCTCCACCTTTCGACCGGTTCGATCCGCTCGATCCGCGCAGTGACGCCGAAGCTTCGAGATGCACCCTGTCGCACTCCGCTTCGCGAGCCGTCCGTTTTTCACCGGGAAATTCGTCGCGAAACCATTGGAAAACCGGACAACGAACGGATCGGCGCTCGCGAGAGATGTTTCTGAGACAGACAAGCCAGCTTTGCGAGTTACGTTGCGTGCTCAAAGGGGATTATGTTCCGAGAGATCCTCCGTGATAGAACGCGTCGGATGATGAAACGAAGCGGGATTTTCGAGAAAATTAAACCGAGGAGCGTTCCATTTGAAGGAAGTTTAATGAAATTTCCGACGATCGATGCGTAGCCGTGAAGCAGATGCAGCTTCAACCGCAGAAGGTGTTCTATTCGCGGATCGGATCGAGCCGGGAAATCTGTCGCGGAGTTTCGACTTTCGCCGTTATTTCGCTTTAGAACGAAAGTTGTTCGACTCGACGATCAGCTGGGACACATCGGCGAAGGGTGAGAGGCGAAACGATGAAATAAAAGCTGGCACTTACGCGCGTTTCCGCGCTACCAGCGCCGAGTTATACGGCTTATAATGGGGTCGGCGTGCATACACGCACGCGGTTGCGCAGTTTTATTTTATGGCAGCGTGGCTTGGACGGCAAACGACCGGGTTTTTACGGTGAACCACGACATTTAACCGGCTTACCGCCGTCGTCCAGCGAAATATTCAGCTCCGGACGTTTAACGTCACCCGGGGAACGCTCCTCCGTTTGCGGAACGGGGGTGCCACAGAGTCGCTCGTTGCCCTTTCCAGCGCTTCAATTTCGCGATTCAAACACACTCCTCTTCTTGTACACGAGACGTAAATACCAGTTGCTTCGTTCTTCCGTGCATCGTCGAATCGCGGTATCGACAGGGGCGTAGAAATTGCCAAATTTTTGATGTAATCATACTCCCTTCTTCTTCTATTCGAGATACATCATATACAGCTCGATGGCAGCTATCTCGACGCGAAAATAATAAAAAATTCGCGACACGATGGAGCGTCGAAATGATTCTGCTGGAACCCGAATGAAAACGATGACAAAACTCATCGATACTCTTTTAATCCTTCAAATGAACGCGAGGGAAATGGAAAAAAAAAAGGATACACGCGCTGGGAGGGGAAAAAATTGTTGGAAATAGAATACAGAGATTTCCGAGGGTGGAAGCGGAGGGCTAACAAGGCCAAAGTTTATTGCCGGTGCGGTGTCAGATTCGTGATGGCGGTGGCGGCGCGAATCGAGGGTGATGGCAGGCGTTTTGAGGGTGTTTATGAGGCATTATGTGTAACTCGCTGGAAGAACGATCCTCCCCCTTGAGGTCTGCTGCCCTCCACCTGTCTACGCTCGCCGAAATCGTAATTCGTTGCGTGCTAAACGCCGCCTTCCACGTATCGGGCTTTTGCATAATTTCTCGATACGGCCTGCCTGTCCTCCCGGTGTTACGCTCCTGAAGCCTGCCCAAACAACTTCTTCTCTCCTTGTTACTATTTCGAATCGAATAATAAATTTCACTCGTCCGAAAATTTGCCTCGCAATCGGGGTATTTTTAATTCCCCGCGCTTTTATACTCCGGGGGACTATTTTTAATTACTTTCCCATTGAAATCTCTGGTCCGTGAAGCAGTCTGCCAATAGGTTCGACTCGTAGGCAAATTTTTGACCCGGGACAAAGGTTCCCGAGACCCCTATGATCGCGATGCAGTGAGTTTCCGCGAGATCTCCCGGGCCCGGGATTTCGACCGCGATAAGAAGAATCGCCGGGAGATTTTTCTCCCTTTTTGCCGGCGAAAAAAGCCGAGCATAATGGCCGCGCGTTTACCGGCTCGCGATAGTCCGCGTCCATTTACACGACAAGGATTTGCACACCGCGAGAAGACACGAGAGAACGCTCGCGTACACCCTAAGTTTGCCCAGGGATCATGCAGTGTTAAAAACTCCCCTGTTTGCCGGCGAAGCTCGTAGCCGAGGGTGGCTCGGATCGTTATTTCAGAGTGTTTGTCGTGTTTTAAGATTCTGACGTTTTGACTGGCCGAATCGCGGCGGAATGAGGCTCGTGCGCGCTCCTATCGACTAGCCTTCTTTTTATTTCCCGCGTAGGCTCCATCGGCTTCGCGAAAATTCCATCCCCTAGCTTGCCCGGTCGTGCGCGATCATGATTTTGGTCAATCGCTTTGCTGCTCGAACTCGAGGACGAACGCGAAGAAGCGTGTCTTCGATCTCTCGAGGTTGGAATAAAATGGGAGAAAAATTTTGCCGTAATTACCTGCAACCCCCACGCGTCGCTATCGAGTTGCAGCGGTTGTTGGGAACGATTCTCTCGGAGAGGACGCGCGCGGAAGCACGAGTAGGAAGCAGAGGAAGAGTGGGCGAGCGAGCGAAACGAAGCTGGGCCTCGTTTACGGCTAATCGAAGCGCAACGATAGCGAGCGAGGAATCTTTCAGGCAGGACACGTCGACATCGAGTCGAGGATTCATCGGAGCGAGAGCACGGTGCACGGTTGAAAAGGGCGAGGAAAAACGTGGAGAGCGTGGAATTAGCATATGTAAAAAGAAACAGAGCGGGCCGGGCGCGTACACGACGAGAGGAGCGGAGACCAGCAGGAAAAATAATGTTTAATCGGTAGAAAATCTCGGTGCAGTCATCCGCCGTAGAACAGCTTCTCCCTCTGGCCGCGCGGCCCCCTCCGTGTCTCCTGCGTGATCCTTTACTTGAGAGAGGGCTGGATTTTTTAATTTTTAATTGGGAAAAAACGTCGCTGAGGTGGTCGACGAAATCCACCGAGTCCCTCTGTGAATTTCGACGACGTTCCACCCCCCTGCGTTCCGCCCCTCTCCCTTGTCGATTCCTTCCTGCCAGACGGTTCTCCTCACGGATTATATATTATCCGTCTGATAAAGTCCGATCGAGTATATTTTCGATCGGTCGGCCACGGCAAGGAATTACCTACGAAGGAATTGCCGCGCCAGCAGGGGCGCAACGAGAGCGATTAATTAAAGTAAGAGGGCGCAGCTCCGTGTAAGTCACGCACGATCGAAGCGAAATTTCGGCTACGACCGTCGCAACAGCTGTTCCACCGTCGTGGAAACAGGGGAACGCCAGATCTCGAGGTTCCTGCGAAAGAACCTGCTACCCTCTTCAACGTCCACCGGTCTTTACGACTTATTAAATCATTTCCACGCATTTCCAACTTCCAACCTCGAACGCTCAAAGAGAAACAGCCAAGGGGAGAATAAAAGTCCCGTTTAGCCTCGAGTTGCCAGCAGCAGCAAGTATCTCGCGGTTCCACGAGAAAAGATTAGCTCTAAACCCTTGAGTTCATTACCAAAGGACCGATTAGAACATGGACAATCCACCTTACATATTTCCTACCTGAAACGTGTCTCTGTTCAGGGGTTACGTGAAGATAATTATTCAATTCGCACCAAAATGAAATATAAGGACAGCCCTGAAAGAAGGTTAAGTGTGTTTGGGCTTGGAAAGAAAGTGATCGCGTGCAAGAGGATCGAATGTAAGGGATGTTTATGACAGAGTCGAATGCGATAAACGAGTGAAAGTTTATGAATGCGCCTGAGTGTTTAGAATACGTGACCGACCGATTGAGAAGAGAGAACGTGGGTATAGATGAGGGCAGAATGAATGATTTAAATAAGGGTAGTACAATGGCGCGGACGACATAGTCTCTAGCGATCTTTTAACGGTCCCTCACGGTCTCCGAGAGTCTAAGAGTTTCTAACAGTGTTTCAGTATATCTAGTTTCGTAGCCGATAATATAAGTATAAGCTTATTGTACTTTATTAAGAAAGAAAGCAACATTACTACATATATTTAAGGAAAGAAACTTCTGACGATGTTTGTAATAGCGGAAAATACTACACGCAGGTGGTAATACGGCCATAAAACGACAGACGGTAGAGGAATATATAGCCAAGACGACTGGAACGATTTCTTCGCACGAAGACCAACGAACGATTGATACAAGACGCAAGATGAGAGGATTAAAATGAACCCCCAAGCAGTCGCAGCTCCGAAACACGCGACGAGCCATCGAAGACGAGGAGACGCGAAGAGAAGAGGTTGTCGTGGATCGCGTGAATCACGGTCTAAAACAACCCCGGTATCAGGCGGAGGCGGAGGAAGCAACGAGGACGAGTAGCGAATCCATTGCGCGAGGACATCGGTCAGGATCTGGCCTGTCGATAGTTCGAGCTTTGCCTCGGATTCTGCCGCCTCCAGCTCGGGCCCGAGCACGTCATAAAACACAGGTAACTCCGGTATTTATGTCCGTCGTTTTTACGCCCGTCGCTGGCCACCGGCTCGCAGCGCAGCCGAATGCCACACACGCGCGCGCGTCTCGCCGCCGCCTCGTGACTCTCTCCTAGGCAACAAGAGAGAGCCTCGCGCTAATCCCTGTCGGCAACGAAAGGGGTGGCCGAGTGATATACGCCTCTGCGCCGCTATGATAATATCCCCCCTGTCTCCACCCGCAACCGACCGGGACCACCCTTTTGTTTCGCCGCTGCCACCCGCTGCTCCATGCCACTTTTCTCCGCGAGAACTGCCGACCAGCCGCGCGTTTTCGCCTGCTCCAAGATTCCCTTCCAATCCTCCATCCTGCGCCCCAGCCTCCGTGAAAACCCGCCGGATTAACCCAGCAAAGTGCCCAGAATAGTTCCAGGTGTCTACGAGTCTACCTGCATATCCCTGACACCTCGAATCGGTTCGTTCGTTCATCGATCGCGCCGCGTTTCCTAAGTTATTAGATTCCATCGGGACAGGTGATCAGGTGAGGAGACGCTGACGAAGGCACTAGATACGATTACGGATGTTAACCGATAGATAGTTGGGAAGATTAGAGCACGGTTATCGGGTCTAATTTAATCGAAGCGCGAGAAATAAGATTATTGCTCTTCGATATCTTTTTCATCGTATTCGGCGATCTAGAACACGTGATCGCGATAGCGGAGAGACGAAAATGGTGGTTCGTAGGTGGAAAAGTGGGAGGAAAGGACGGATAGGCAAGAGATAGGCGGCTGAAGAGCGATTCGAATTTTTGCGAACAACGTTCGCTCGTCTCGGCTAAAATCATTCCTCATCCGCATTCGCAGTATTAAATTGGCATGGCGAAGCCCGCGAGCGAGCATGGAACAAATATTTACCCCAAAATGGTCAGTGAGCGCGGGCCACGTGCAAAATAACGGAGGCGAAAAAACGGGGAAAAATGTACACGGAAACCGTATATGAAGCGGCCGCTGCGACTCGTCTCTTCGCGGTATTATGCGCGATACACGACGTGACTCGCCTGCAAACATCATAAATTTTCCATTTATTTAGCAAATCTGTTTACCCGACTCCGTAGATGATAACGATTGTTATCGGTGTGTTATCGGTGATCGGTGCTCGGCGATCGCATATTTTCCAGCAGACCGCTTGAAAAACGCGTGACCAGCGAGCGTTTCGTTAAACGGAAAGTACGACGGGCATCACGGTCAACCGGTAGAAATTATTCTGTGCAGAATGAATTTCGAAAATTCGAATACAAGAACGACAATCGAATACGTGCAACATCGGCCGCTGTTCCCAGCCGATGTAAAACCGACGTCCAAGTCCTTCTCCCGTCTCCACCCATCGCTATTTTATCAATCGATTTCTTTCTCCAAACGCGAAAATCATGCTGCTTTTACCGTATTTCCCATTTTTCACTCTCCGAAACGCGTTGTAAATAATATTAAATATTCCCCTCCCTCGATCGCGTTAATTATTAATCACGACCGATCGACTAATCGAAGGATCATCGAGGGGGTCCTGGCAAAGCTCGCCAAAGCTTGTCAAAGACAGGGCAATCGGGATCGTAGGAGAATTTCACGGAAGAGGATTATCCGAGAGGAACGACATCTTGGACTCGATGGGAGGAAAATTTCAGGTTGATTCGAAAGGTGGAACGAGAACGGTGGAAATATTTCCGACAGATTGAAATATCGGCGTTTCCCGGACACGCGGAAAACAATCTTGCATGATCCGTCACCCTCATAGAGGTTCTAGAAGCAAATCGTTGCGTTCGGCTGGTAGTTAGGGGCTGCCCGTAATACAGTAATGAGGGCTTACTGCCATGGAAACCAAAGCCGCTTACAGCCAACCACTCTACTCCCAACCACCCCCTGCCTCCCCTTTGTCACTCTCGCTCTCTCGCTCTGGCCGTCCTATTCTGCGATTCCCTATATATCCGCGATATCCTTCTCATCCGACGAGTTTCGCGAAAAAATTGCGAAAACCGTTCACGACCCCTATTGTTTCTCCACGGTTCGCTCATTTCTCCCACGTTGAGGGGGGGGGGGGGGGATAAGAGACCGCGTTCAAACGAATTCCGCGCCAAGTTTGCGCGAGAAAAATCGGCAGAGATAGGCTCTCGAACCGGAAAAACGATCCGTCCTTCGATCAGCCTTTTCGCGAATTACCATAACACCGAGAACGTGCCCCTTTTGACACTCGAAATGGCGCAGCGATGGTAAAAAGGCCACCCCTGTGACGCTTCGCGCTTCGACGCGCGAAACACGAAACCGGGAACGACTTCATCGTACAAAGTGGCTCTCGCGGCCCTCGATCTTCCGGTTACCGAAGGGAGGTGGGTATATTTGGAAAATTTACGTGCTCGGCTGGCCGACATCGTCGTCGGGGCCAGGGGTGATCGGCGAAAAAGCTGGCATTTAAGGCACCGTTTAAGAAGCGTCCTCGACGTGGCACCGTGGACGGAACAGAGTCGATACCGCGCAGACCCCGCGATTTCCTTTTCCAATTTGCCATAAACAAGTCGACCGGCCCTCCTCGTTAACCTACGCTCGTGAACTGCTCTCCTGAAAGTGGTCCGCGACGGGAAGAAAGGCGAGTCAGCGTGTAAAAGAGGGAGAAGAACGAAGGAAAAGGGACGTCGTTGCAAGTCGGTCGAATTAAAGGAATTAAAGGCGCCTCGTTACTCGTATCTCCCGATCCTTGCCACCCTCTTGGCCGGAAAAAACGGGCCAGACCCGAGACTAGGAAGGGACGAGGATGAGCGACTCGATTCTCCTTCCTTTGCTCGACGCTGAGGCCGAATCGGCCGAGAGTTTGCATTAAGAGTTCGTAATGGCAGCGATTATTAGGGCGCATTATTCAGCCCCGATCTAGGGCCCCTGATTTTTTTTTCCCTCCATTCTGCACCCCCGCCCCCTTCGAGGGAACGCTGAATTATTGAGACGCCGAGGCGGGAATTAAAAAATCTTCGCGACGACCGGCCGAGATATCGAGAGTCACGGAGAATCACGAGACGACACTGTTTGCCGGGTGAATTAAAAATGAGGATGAAACGAAGGGGCCAGCTGGCTCTCTCGCCTCGCGTCCGAGGAAAAACGAGGCCATCAGTCGGCCCACCGCCTTAATGTACCGACTACTGAATGATTTAAGACGCCCCGAGAAAGCTTCGGTTCGACTCGACCTGATCGAATTTTTGCAATCGCTCTTCC